AAAAAATTGTATTTAGAATACCAAAAAATACTTCAAAACGTATTTTAATACATGTATTCAAATACTTGTATTCGAATACTTTAAAAGACTGGTACGTACACAAAATCACATCCCAGTACATCAAAATACATGATTGAAATTTAATAGCATTTTGGTATTTTATCTTATTGGTAATTTATTATTATCAAACGAACAAGTGCAAAGTGACTCCATCATTAATATATGGTAAAACCCGGCTGGTCGTTATGATTACAATTCAGTAACAAATTACAATCAATTCTTGTTTCATTATTTTTTGGTGGCAAATAATATGGTGCGACGCAGATGGCAATAGTGAAAACTTGTGGTAAAAATAAACCTTTTATATAATTGAAAATCCGGTCGATTATAATAACTATACAAATAATACATGAACAGTGGATACGTGGATGGTGCAGTTGGTGGGATAATATGAGTTATAATTAAAAGTACTCGTATCTTTAGACAAGATGATATGCGGTACTGCGGTAACTCTTTAATCATGCCTACATTTTTTCAGTTATAAAAATTTGTTTATGGTTGATCTACAAACACAATACGTATTAATATGCTTAAAATCTTAAAATATGCAATTTAATTGCTTGTACCTACTTCGATTGTTTGTATTATGATGAAATGAATTTATGTCGAATCAGATTATAGAATATAAAGCTTTCTAATAATAAAATGCAAATAGTTCCAAGCACTAATTAGTAATTATTGGTAATCATATAAACTCATTACTTTTTAAATGTAAAAATACTTAACTTAAAAATATCCAAGAAGAGTATTTTACACTATTGGCAAAATTATTGAAATAAAAACTTCATAATTGATACCTATTTGCTATTCTCATATTATAGGTATTTAAATACAAAAAAATGAGTAACAGTAGGTAAACTTATTTTCGAAAGGATTAATAAATTCAGTCTTTTGCACATTTACTGAATCCCGTTGGATTTGTTCTAATAGCTCTATGCCATTCAGTTGAACATACAAATCTAAGTCGTCCATACTGATCTGTGCTTATCGCCTGTCGGTTAAATGTTGAATGACTGATTGAATATATGTTTCATATATTCTGTGGATTGATACTTATATTTATACTTAAGTTCATATTATCAAATGATATAAGAAAGTAGGTAACTAAGAAACAAGATTACGAACTACGATAACAATCATAAAATGACCCAAGTCATAAATATAAATCATGGTTCACGATAAAACGTTCGTTTAAATTACCCATGTACAACACTAAAATTGTATTTATAAGCTTATAAAGTTATAACTAACCTATAATAGATTTTAACTAAAGCTTGTATTTATTATCATTAAATAGCAATGTATTACAAAGCATTTATTTATTATAGTTATTAGTATTTATTTCAATTTCATACTAAATAGTAATATGAGGATAAAATGGTACATACTTAATTAAAATTACATTTTATAAGTAAAATCACTTCAATCAAATATCAAATTTTCATCAAATATTTTGTTACTTACATTCTTATATTTTAATTTGCTATACATAATTAATAAACAAAAAAAATCAATCCTAGCTCAATCACATTATCGAATTAAGTATATAGATACAATGAAAAATGGAAAATTATAGTTATTTGAATCAATAAACGTAATAAAAACATTATGATAACTATCACATAAATACTTCATAATTAAAAAATAAATGATTAAATAAATAGATAAATGAATAAATATATTATATTATGTTCATTCGTATACGGAAATACGTTTCCGAATGCTCTTCTCCTATTCGGATGTATCGTGCGGAACTTATCAACATAACCGAACGCATTCATATACAGAAATATTTCAAGAATACATATTAGTCGGATCATGTGAAAATTCGTGTGGAAACCGCGATTTCCGTATACGGATCCAATTCGAATGATTTCAAGAATAGACCCACTGGACAGTTGAGGACATGTTCGTGGACACGGTTGCGGCAGAACAGCACCGCTGCTTTGGCGCGCGAGCGTTTCGATACAATCTCTTCGTCGTTTGCGTGGCGTCCAAAACCAAATGCCTAACCTCGCCATCGGGTCGTTTTTTTGAAAATCGTAAAATAAGAAATAATAAAAAACTATTTACAATAGCATTAACAATACCAATTAGTTCAGCTACTTACGAAAGAAGTTTCAGTGCAATGAAAATAATAAAAACTTGGCTAAGGACATCATTTGTTCAAGATAGCTTCAGCGAGCTTTCAATCTCTTGAAAAAGATATATCGAAAAATATAAAAAGTGATGATATTTTGAATATCTTTGCTGATACAAATAGATTCTTTTCATTAAAATAAAATATTAATTATTTTTAAATCTACGTTATTTAGTGTTTGTTTTTAATATAATTTAAACATATCTACATTTTTAATAGTAATAAGTTTTACTTGTGCATGGGAAGGGGGTATGGGGGGCGAAGCCCCTACGGATTATTTTACATTGAATTATTATAGCCCCCCCCCCAAAAAAAAATTCAACCAAATGTCCGCCTATGATTGAAACCCAGTGGACGAACAGTCGAATGATTTCGTGTATGACTGCGGTCGTATATTTTTTTTCAAGAATAATATATTTGTATTCTCATGCATTGAACACTTAATCGCATTCGGCGAATTATCGTACCGCCTTTTCAAATTTAGGTTTTTTCAAGGTATGATTGTCGCGTTCGCCGCCGGTGAAACATAAAAGAAAATAATGTGCGACACTGCGCGCGGGATAAACACATTGCGGCACGCCGTGCACCCACGTCCAGAAATGTTTGAATCGCCCGGGCTTGTTCCGCCGGCGCTTTGAGAACCACTGGGAGACGGCTTGCGCCGCGTGAATATTATCATCGCACACCGTTTTCATCTTCATGGCAGTGATGAAAATCAGGCGTCGCCGATCCCTCCCTCCGGCCAACGTTTATTATCACACGGTGCACGACGTCGTTCCCGTCCCATCCGCGGTAACTCATCGCAATTGCCGACGTTCCCGTTTTTCCTGATTGATTTCTTCAACTTACAGGCACCCACAGAAACTTACTCTAGCACGACATCATGGCGTCTAGACGAATCGATCCGAAGATGAAGGAATCCTACTCGGCGGTCAAATACGTACAAATCGAAGGACTGGTGAGTGAAATGATTGGCGGTCTCGTGTTCGAGTACCCGTCGAGAGCCGTTGTTAAACCGATCGTTGTTTCGTGTCGCAGGCGCTGATGAAAATCGCAAAACACTGTCACGAGGAATGCGCCAGCGACGTGGTCATTGCCCAAGGAGCATTGTTGGGCCTGGTCGTGGAGGACTGTCTGGAGATAACCAACTGTTTCGCCTTCCCAAAGAGCGTCGACGAGTCTATCAACGATGGTAAGTCGTTACTAGTCACTTAACCCAAGTCCAGCCGTCTCGTCTCCGTAGTGCTAATCTTATTGCCTGTAATTTGTTTCCCCCCTTAACTCAACCCACATTGATTGCATTTTGTTTTCTAAGAAAAATTGTGTTATTTATCGATTGCCTAACAAAATCTGACAAATTCCGTTAATACTGTCGATTATTGTCAGCAGCTAGTGAAGTACCCACGGAATTTTAATTTCGCTATATATTTTCTGTATCTATTCAATTCTTGCCAGTATAATAATTTCATTTCTACCCTTTATTTGATAATTGATAAATATTATATTGACTGTATTCTTTTTTTTTTTTTCTATATTGGTATACTATTTTGTTTCTTTTCAAAGTCTTTAATTTTCAATGTACATCATGAAATAATAAATTTGCTTTCTCCCTCCATATTGTTTATATTTCAAGTTAAACTGATGATACAGTTAGCTATAAAATTTCGAAATTGTATACTACCTAGTATGATGAACTAGTTATTTTATACAATTTCATCTTTTATGTACTATTAATTATATTTTATTTTAATTTATCTATAGTACTTCAAATATGGTAGTAAGAGTATAAATTATAATGTATTGGTAATTATTGTATTTGTATTTATTATTTACTTGTATATATTATGTATTTTTAATTATATTGTATTGTATAATAATATATTGGATTGTAGAGCTATTAATTTATTCTTTACATAATGATGTATCAAATAATAATAATATTTATTTTGGTTAACATCAATCTTCATTTATTAATTATATTTTATTAAAACATTGCTAGATTTAATAATTTGTGTACCTAACTCATTTTTTTTTTTTTTTTTAATCACTTATGTTCTACTGTAGTAAAATAACTGACCAATTGTTAGGATTTTTTCAAATGATTCGTATTATTCATCACTTAAATTTTTCATATATATATATTAATCTATCTCAGTAATTATAAAAGTTGCTTACTATAAGTTTACAAAAATATTGCTACAAAAAAATTTAACTTGATTTTATTTTATAGAAAAATATCAGTTGGATATGATGAAAAGTCTTCGTCAAGTCAATGTTGATCATTATCATGTTGGATGGTATCAAAGCTCTGATATTGGTAACTTTTTGAGTTTACCATTATTGGAATCACAATTTCATTACCAAACTAGTATTGAGGAATCTGTTGTTCTCATTTTTGGTTAGTATTGAAACTTAAACAATATTGGTATTTTTATACATGTTTATTAGGTTAGAATGACAAATTATTTTACATATTACTGCAATTTACTTATGATTATGTTCTTATATATTTTTAAATAGTTTTATTTAATAAATTTATTATTAAAACTTAATTTTTTGTTAAATACTTGGTGCAACTATTAACACCTATTTAAAAATTTAAACTTCTTTTAAATAAATGTTCAGGGTAATTGAAGAATATTGTGCTCACCAATAGAGTTCTTTTAAATAAATCTAATTAAGAATGATTAAAAAATTACTAATAAGTCAATGTAATAAATGTAACAATATCCTACTGTTGTGTAATGAATTTTTTTTAGTATTATATTTCTCATTTGGTCACAATGGTGGTAGTACATTGTTATCTAAGTTATTATATTTACTTGTTCTTCGGTTTTTTAAATTATATCAATTAATATGTATTTTAAAAATTGTATGAATATTGAATTTTAAATATCTATAAATTATTCAGGAAATTAAATTACTAGGTGAAGTGTTTCAGTGTTACTAATTAAGTAGTTATACTAATCATCACGAGATACCTGTTTTTGTTGAAATTTTACTTATTTAGTATATATAAAAACTGTTTTATTACATTAATATATATTTATTATTTGTTTTTAAATTAAATATTTCTTAAGTATCATTAGTATATTTTATTTTCACTCTTAATGCATTTCCTATACTGATTTATAGTAAGCATTTTTATTTGTAAATATTGTTATTCATAAAAATCACTATATTTTTTGATTTTATGAAGGCATTTCTGTTTTTCACAGTTTGTTACTAAAAAAAAAATGTTAATAACATTTATTTTATGTATTAATTTTTTGTATGCATGAATATTTTAATGTTAAAGTATAATTTTCTATTAAATTGTCAAAATGCATTGTTTTACCAACTTAAATTCAATTTAAATTCTTAAATTCAGCTAACACTTAAATCAAAAGTATGTAGAAAGTACTATATATAAAAAAACAATTAATCTGTTAAAAAAATGCACCCCTAGAATATATTTAATAAAATAAATCAAATTTTTATTATTTACATTTGCTTGTATTATAACAATTTAAAAGTAAATTGTATTTTTATTTTTTAGATGCTCCTAAAACAAATCGTGGATTTTTGTCCTTAAGTGCTTATCGTCTTACACCACAGGCCTTAACTATGTTTAAAGAAAATGATTTTCAACCAGACACATTAAAATCATTAAAAGTTGGTTATGATCATTTATTGGTAAAAGTACCAGTTGTCATAAAAAATTCTACATTGACTAATATCCTTCTCTCAGAGTTAAATTTCAAAATTAAAGTAGAAGAAGGTTCAGAACATTTGGATATTGGTACTGCGTAAGTATTCTGGTATAAACTTTTTCTAATTTTTATACTAAACATTTACTATCCCTATATTATAGTACTGTTTTGGAAGGACAGTTACGTCATTTAATGGACCGAGTGGATGATCTAAATCAAGAAGCAATCAAATTTAATCGTTATCAACAAGCAGTTGTTCGCCAATCTTCAGACAAGCACCGTTACTTACAAAAACGAGTAATAATTTTTAAATTTTAAATCATAATGTTTTATTGAATATGAATCACAATTTCAACAATTGAATGTTTTAAATAGGCACTAGAAAACCAAGCAAGAGCTGCTAAAGATGAGCCACCATTACCTGAAGAAGACATTACTAAAATATTCAGACCCTTACCAGTGCCTCCTAGGTTACCACCCATGTTGATGGCTACACAGGTTGATACATACGCTGAAGAAATTGCTAAATTCTCTACTCAATCTTTGGCTAAATTGTACATGACCAAAGCAATGAACACTAACCACTGATTATAAATTATAATTAAGGGTCCTTAATAAAAAATTGTTTCTGATACAAAAAAAGAAAACTATTTTTTATTTTTATGTTTAAATAAATAATAACAATAAAAACATAATGTACAACTGAAGCTCTTCAATGAGTTTCAAATGTGTCAAATTGAATATATATTCAATAAATTATAAACTTCAAAATATTTTTGTTTTGCTATTGTGTATTTGTTTTGATATTATGTAAACATAATATCTTATGAATTTATAATAACTTTTAAAAAATATTAAGAGTATAGTAACAGTTATAATTTTATTTATACTCAAACATATGTCCTGATGAATTTAGAAAATACTATTATTATTATTATTTTTTTTTTGTATATATTTTGTATTATTTTTTTGTATATGTAAGGTTTTTATTAATTTATTCAAATATTTTACAAAATAATTTTCAATTGCTCAAAGCAAAAGCATATTAATAGGCGGCGTTTCAGCTGTTCGAAGAATTCACAACACACATAACAGCTGGGTCAAAAGTCGGCACCAGCCGGGGTTCGTTTGTCAACGAAAATGTTTTTGTCCTTATGTTTTATGTGGATCGCACCACGGGTCGCGTTAACCACTGGCTGGCGTCAAGTATGACCCCCGACGGGGGGGCGAGGGACTCGACGGTAGTTTTGATAGATTTCGTTATTCGATTCTCACCGAGCCCGTGCGGCTGGGAGGGAGATGGATCTCAACCTCGCCGGAATAAGCTGAGGTAAAACTTGGTTTTTAGGTCTCGTTTATGTGTTGGAACAGGGAATCGGGGCACTTGACCGTGTTTGTAGGGTTTTTGCTGTACCCGAACAGATAAACTGGTTTTTACGTAAAAAACAACCGGTGCGCGGAAATAATATTTGTCGCTGAAAAACGATCTCGTACACATTTGTGTCGTAATGGACGTATACGTTTTTGTCCGTAAACATTCAATCCCGATATCGGAGTACGGAACGATGGTAAACACTGCGGTGTAATTAAAATAAACGTTGAGATTTCCATAGCCTGTGCATAACCGTGCATCTGTTGACGGCGAGCAAAATCGCCGTGGACGCATTAATTATCAATCGTGAATACAATCATCACAAATGTCCGCACACGCACCCGAGCGTTATAACACTAAAGTTTACCCCCCACCGATTGCGCTGTTGCAATGTTGCGCAACGGTACGTGCTGGTACCCCAAGTTCATTAGTAGTCATCATCGTTCCTTCGGTGCGCGTCTGTCGTCGCTTGTATACGGTTCCTCGCGATGGGTCCTTTGAAAATGTCAGCCCTTGTGTTTGTCGGTACTCTTGTAATATTATCGCTGAACACCGTAAGCACTTGATCGAATTGTGATTTTACGTTTATACCAACAACAACAAAAAACACCACCACTAATGTTCATAATTTTGTGTTATTGTTTTTTTTCCAGCCGGTAATACGGAGTTCAGAACCGACGTACTCAGAGGGACCGCCGACTCGGCACCCTTTTCCCATCAAACCGTCCAACATATTGGCGTTTTTGCCCACCGAAGCTAAGAGTCATTTTTTCGGTTTTAAACCGTTGCTCGAGGCGCTCGTTAACAGAGGACACAATGTCACACTGGTATCGCCGTTCTCACTGGACCGCGCCAAATTGCCGTATCGTTACGTCAAAGTGGAGAAAACATTAAAAGGTATCTGATTTTAACTATGTTTTGCATAATTATAGCGGAAATAAAATTCTATCGAGAGAGAATGAAGAGAGCCGATTGGTTAGCATATTCATTGTAGATTTATTGATATATTTTAATATGCATTTAAAAAATTATTCATAAAACCATCGTACATGTTACAAGCATTCTTAAATTATCATCACTTTATAAAATCGTTGGATTAAAAAAAATGTCAAACTTCAATGTATATAGAAATATTTTTAAATAACTTAAAATACAATTCATAAATCATTTTTTTTCACTTAAAGATTCTGAAAATTGGTACAAAATCTCTATTTTTGCATACTTGTTGTTAAATAATAAATTTTCTTAAATCTATATTTAACATTTTTACTATTAGTGTCATCGGAATCCTATTTTACATCTTAAAAATATTTTAATGTGGTAAATATTTACTACTACTTCCATTTATCTAAAGAAGTAAAAAAAAAAATGTTATGTGAAAACATTTTTACAGTAGATATTTTATATTAAAATCCTAATTAATTAATGAATATCTAGTTATATTTAGGAGTATTACTCATAGTCAAGATTCAGGGCTTAATGTAGTAAAAACTATTAAAACATGTACAAATGTTTAGAAATAAGTGGATATCTTAAAAAAGGTATATTTATGAATATTTTTTTAAAAATAAAAATTTAAAAAACTTTATTGTACATACATTTTTATTGAAAAAGATTGATGATAAATTAGTAATTAAATATTGGTTTCTATTTTGAGCTCTAAATGAAATATATGTTAATACATTTAAATACTCCTAATATACAATAATTTCTGAAACTAATAGTGTACTTAGCACTAACTATTATATTTATTTATTAATTTCACTGAATAATCATTATTTTATTTGGTAAATAGTAGGTAATAACCAACATTTAATAATGGAGAGTAACTATGTGATAATGTTTGATAATACTTGATCATTTTAATAAATGATTCATTGATTTCAAATTTAAAAGACCAGTACAGCAATACCATTCACCAATCTCTGTATATCATCTGACCTAGGACTCTTGCCCTTTTTACATTATTATATTATTAATGAAAAAAATGAGAAACTGTATAATATATTTTATATTCATTTGAATTTTTTTTTTAGAAAAATTATATATACTTTCAATTATTTAAACATTAAATTTAGAAAAGTATTTCTGAATATACCTTATGGTAGTATACTTCAATCTAAAATCAGATAGTAAATTAGATTATAATTGTTTAACATTTATACATATGGAAATACAGAAGAGTAATGAGTAATCTAAAAATATATAAGTATAAAACTCTTCCCTTGGGCAATGTTATCAGCTATGTTATAAGTATATAACTATTAAGGATATTGTATTATCTTGTTCATATTTTTTTTAAAATATAACAATTATTGCCTACTAAATACTAACCGATTCAATATGAAGTAGTTCTTGAAAAATAATTATATACATATATTATTATTAAACTAATTATTTTTTTATAATATTGTATTGTTAGAATTAATTTGTTTTCCCATGACTGAGATACATGCAGTATAGTCATTTGATATTATTTTTTAAACTTGATATGTATATCAATTTACTGAATAATTGTATTTTACAATAATTTAAAATATGGTGTCCGCTTTTGTAGTTTATGAACATTTCTGTGAAACAATAGAAAAATTGAGTTTACTTATAACTTATAATCAATTTTTGTTATTTTTTTCCAATTAAAATTTTTGGCCATTTTGACTATTAATGAAAATTACAAGAACCGGTATTTTTTTAGTGTAAATACTGTCATCAGTTCTCGGATCAAAGTCATACTGATTCGTGGTTGTCTGACATGGTTGCTTTGATAATTGTATATCGGCCTTTATTCTTTACCTCATACTGTACTTATATGTGTAATTCAATGTGTAGTAAAATAGTTTCTATTTTATTATAAATTTTATCAACTTTCGCATAACGCTGTTTTTTTGAGTTCAAATTTTAAATGTTAACAAACCAAATTAACAAGCATAATGAAAGATTCAAAACTATCATTCTAATATTTTTCTAAGATCAAACTTAAAAGGACACTACACAGAAAGTGAAACGTATACAATGACCGAGAGAACGCGCTGTTAGATGTTTTCGTGCGGCACAAGCACGCGATATGAGTC